GATAACATTTGGAATATAGGGAATCTTTCGTACTTGTTTTATCTGATCTAATAATATATTGTCCCTAAGAGCGTTGATTGGTGCCTTAGTGTATTATATTGCTGACAAGACCACAGTTGGTTGTAAAGCTCAGATTGTAAGGAGTACCAGAGGCTACTGTATATGAAATGTTATCGCAAACTTTACTATGACTTTCAGGTGTATGAGTTTGTGCTTACATATTAACTGGAAAGTGGGTACTCTTTCCCATTACCTCCCATGTACTATGTTATAGCTCTGTAAGGGTAAATGTTCCATTTCCACTGCCCTTGGCTAGGACAGAAACCATAACAAGTATCAACTTAAACTCCTGTAGACTAGATTTGAACCAAGACAGAATTTGGCACTTGAATGAAATCAAGTGTGATTCATATTCAGCGAACTCGCAGTGATGTCTGAGTACCCTAGCCGAGAGATAAGCACAACACTGGGTGCGAGAAAAAGCTGTTGACTAAAAAACGACCTTACTTCAGAAACAAGCGCAACGTGATTCAGGTTTTTGAGGGTTTTGCCTTACTGGGGAGATGGTCATTTTTCATACAGTGGCTCTCCTTTTAACTCTGCATGCACTGACTCAAGAGTTGAGATGAATGAAAGTGTGAGGACGAACTCCGCTTTTGAAAAATCGTGCTCGAGTTCAGAGTGTGGAGGTGTCTTGACATTTGATATTTCAGTCAGTCATCACAGGGTTTAGATCAAGTCTGAACCTACATGGAGAGTGCACACGTGCTTGTGCTGGCTGAATTCCAAATGGTGTTCATTTCCTCTACCTGGGATTAAACTTCAATATATCATTTAAGAAAATCTTGGTTCGATAATTATTATCCAGTTGGTTATCCGCCCGTGCACTCAGAAGTTGCATGATTTAATGAGTTACTTAAGATAAAGGCAGTAAATGTTATTTTTCCTACTTTTTCATGGTTCACTCGTGTCCGTATTACAGGTTCACATCTACAGAGAAC